TAGAGTAGAGTAGAGTAGAGTAGAGTAGAGTAGAGTAGAGTAGAGTAGAGTAGAAATCAGAATAGAATAGAAATCAGAATAGAATAGAATAGAATAGAATAGAATAGAATAGAATAGAATAGAATAGAATAGAATAGAATGATAGAGTAGAATAATAGAGTAGAATAGAATAGAATAGAGTAGAGTAGAGTAGGGTAGGGTAGGGTAGGGTAGAGTAGAGTAGAGTAGAGTAGAATAGAGTAGAATAGAGTAGAATAGAGTAGAATAGAATAGACTGACAGAGTTGAAAGGGACTTTGGATGTCTTCTAATTCAATGTCCTGCTCAGGCAGGAAACTCTATACAATTTCAGACAAAAGGCTGTCCTGTGTCTTCTTAAAAGCCTCCAATGTTGGAACATCCACAACTTCTGGAGTTATTGTTCCCGCTGATAGGAAATTTCTCCTTAGTTCTAGGCTGCTTTTCTCCTGGATCGGTTTCCATCCGTTGCTTCTTCTCCTGCCTCCTTGTGCTTTGGGGAATACTTTGACTCCCAATCTTCTTTGGGGCAGCCCCTCAAATATTGGAGCACTGCTACCACCTCTCCCCTGGTCTTTCTTTTCCTTAAACTGGGCGTACCCGATCCCTGCGACCATTCTTAACCTTCCTAGCCGTAGAAACAAATCTGCACTGAACCCTTACTCAGGGGTCTGTTTCAAGAGAGGGCAGACTGTACCCGTGAGGGGCGAACCATCCTTGATTAGGGCTGGGTGAGAGTTCGGTTTGAAAAGAGGTTCTGAATTCCACTCAATAATGAATTTAGCTCCCAGTACCCCACAAAGCAGAGCCATGTCGTATCGCTGGGGAAAGAGGCAAAAAAACGACAACATCCCAGCTCTACTTGCCAGCCTCCAATAAAGGACATTTGCATAATTATGCAAAACTAAATGTATACATCCCGCCAGCCTTTGAAGCGAGGGGTGGGGGGGAGAGAAAGCCATTAGAAATGGGGAATGTTGCCTCCCCCCCACCGGCCCCCCTCCGCTCTTTCCTTTATTGCCAAGACTCAGCAAAAGCGTTTAATGGCAAGAAAGCTTGCGTTTGTCGCATTCCAACCAAAGATTGTGCGCTCTCTCTCTCTCTCTCTCGGGGGGGGGGCAGAGGGGGGGGAGAGAAAGAGAGCGAGAAAGGGAGAGTGGGAGAGAAAGAGGAAGAGAAAGAAGGACAGAAAGAGGAGGAGGGAGGGAGAGGGGGACAGAAAGAGAGAGGGAGAAAGAGAGAGAGAGAGGAATAGAAAGAGAGGAAGAGGGGGGAGAGAGAGAGGGACAGAAAGAGCAAGAAAGAGAGAGAAGAAGAGAAAGAGGGGGAGAAAGGGGGCAGAGAGAGGGGGAGAGAGTGGGACAAGGGAGAGAGGGAGAAAGAGGAAGAGGGAGGGGGGAAGAATAGAAAGAGGGGGAAAGGGAGAGGGACAAAGAGAGAGAGAGAGGGAGAGAGAGAGAGAGGGAGAAGGGGCAGAGAGAGAGGGAGAGAAAGGGACAGAAAAGAGAGAGAGGAACAGAAAGAGGGAGAGAGGGAAGGGCAGAAAGGGGGGAGGGAGAGAGGGACAGAAAGAGAGGGAGAGAGGAACAGAAAGAGGGAGAGAGGGAGGGAGAGGGACAGAAAGAGCGAGTGAGAGAGAGAAAGAGAGAAAGATATATATATTTGACAGCATCAGCAGGAGCCTGACTCAGCAAGACAACTGGAACATATTTGCAAACAAACAAATGAAAGCAAGAATTGATGTCCTTTTCGCAGTTGTTCCTTCAAGGGAAGGACATTCTCTACTGATTGTCTTCCCCATAGTTACTGTCTCCTCTTATTCCTGGTTTTTCTCACCACCATCACCCTTCCCTTCTGATCCGTGTGCCACGCCTAAAATTATGCCTGGCTTCCGATTTTGGTTTCTACGTGTCATCCTGGTCTCTAAACTAAGCAGTTCCAACTTTTCTTTCATCGTGGGACTCCCAGGATGAATCCATCTCCCCTTCTTCTCCAAAGGGTTTGGACAACGGCTCTTAGAACCCGCAGATGTTCTCTGTCCCCATCATTTTCCCTTACTCCTTCCTTTGATCAAGCTACAGCATCTTGGGAAGAACAAGGGATCTTCAGATGAATTTTCAAAGAGGAAAACTCAGAAACCCACAGATGACGACCCACAGCTTCTATAGGTTAACTATCTAGATGCTGTGCAAACCTTAATATCAGGATTTTTTTTTCCCTTATGAAAATGAAATCCAAACAGATGCCACCGTTATTTCTGGTCCTACAGAAAAGCGGGGAGTCAACCTATTTTCCAAAGCACCTGAGGGCAGGACAACAAGGAACAGATGGAAATGTATCATGGAGAACTAAGGAGAATCTTCCCAACGGTGAGGACATCTTGCCTCCAGAAGGTTTGGATGTTCCATCACTGGAGGCTTTTAAGAAGAGGTTGAACAACCTGGAATGGCATAGGGTCTTCTGCTTGAACAAGGACTAGAAGACCTCCAATCCTGTTCTGTGTTCTGATTTCCAGGCAAGTGGAAAAGAAACAACAAAGCCTCCATAAGCCGTATGGTTGCAGCAGGGGTGGTATTCTATCGGTTCAGCACGGTTTGGCTGAAGCGGTAGCTCCGAGGATCATCGGAGCAAACTGGTTCGCTCCGACGATCGGCTGCTGGGCCACCAGACCGCCTTCCCTCTATTTCCTGGTTTTGAAGCTCAGCTGTTTTGCACAGCACAACATGGATTGCTGCACATCAGCTGTTTAACACACAGGGTGAATGTAGGATTGCAGGAGAAGGTCATTAGGAAACCCTCTGCGCGCATGCAAAGCGCGCCCACCAAGCCACACCCACAGAACCAGTGGCAAAACAGTTTGACTCCCACCACTGAGCCGCAGGGTAGTTTACAAGTGTTAAGCCTATCCTATCTCCATATGCTCAGTGTGTCCATACACAGAGGAGTCTATTGTCATGCATTCAGCACCAATTGCCTCCGGTCAGAATTAACCGATAACCTCCAATTACTTCTGTCCTTCCAACATGGAGAAGTGTACTGCCTATTTTCTCAGGTTCACTTCATCAGTAGCGCTAAATCGTTCAAGGGGAGTGTTAATGGAAACGCTTGCTGTGCCAAAAGGGCACATCAGCCCACAAGCTTGGATGGAAGCAAGATATCTTTGGAATCTGTTCATCTGGTGCCTTTCCAGAACCCGTTTCTTTTCTTCGTTGCATCTGGCAGGCCACTGCTACATATTTCAGCGATCGGGGAGACAAGGTTGTGCCTTTAAAACTGCCCCTTGGCATCGTGAGATCTCATCCGGTCAATTTATCTGACTGCTGCTGTCTTTAAAGCCCCAATTCAGCTGCATTACCCACAGCTGGCTTGATGAGCAGAGATCCTCCACCTTGGTGTCAGCAGGCTAACGGTGTGTGTTCAAGGCACAAATAAGATGGAAAGTTTTGAGAAGATGGAATGGGGTAAATCCAAGCTTAAATCAGAATAAATCTGGGTGTCTGGATGACACGTCTGCATCTATCAAAGGTGCACCTTGGTAGGGTCAATGGCTGGACCATGACCTCCAAAACCAAAGAGCCAAGTTCACATTGGTACGGTCAATTTTTGTGTGTACAACCCAAGTTTTGCAGCCTGACGCATCTGGCAGAATGTTGGACAGGCTCTCCAACCAGCGACAAATTGTTTAATGTGGTTTATTGAATCAATCAACCATTTCTGGGTGCAACGATATGCTCCACTGTAAATCATGGTTGACAAGCCATCAAGACCAGATTCAAGCAACGCGACCAACCAAAACCAGCCAACCCATATTATTCACCATTATCTTCTTTTAATGACTCCATAATCCCTTTTGGGAGTAGAGTCTGAGCAACTGAATGGAGCTGAGTGTTTACTGGCCAGATGCCCTTCCTGTCACCAGTGCGGAGTTATAATCAGCAGATATATTCTCACCGTGCCCAGAGAGAGAAATATCTGCCTCTACCTAGGATTGAACTCACAGCCTCCTGATTGCGAGGTGAGACTTCCACCTCTAAGCCACCACGCCAGTCAGCCAACCCATATTATTATGATTCCTTATATTGAGTAAGCCATCTCTTTCTCTCCTTCAAGTGGGACTCACCTCTTGGGGACTTCGTGACGATGTGGTTTACTTAGCAGCAAGAATGGTTTGTTATTGCTTTCTGCAAAAAGGGTTTTGCAACTTTCCAACCGGACCTCCCAAGATTTCCACGGGCTAAATCAACTTCATTTGGCTTTCTCAAGGTCACAAACATAGAGCGGGTTGCTGCCACCAGCTGTAAGTCTAAATGTTCCCCAAAGTCCAGCTCATATCCTGGTTTTTGAGATTGGCCAAGGTCTGCCCCCACCTATTTGAAAGGAGCTTATGGTTAAAATAGGACTTAGGGACGTATAGACCATCTTCAGTGGTTTGGAAGAAGGCCAAAACTTTGGGGGTTTGTAGGCAGCTATTATGATCATTATCTATGCAGCCGGTGCTTCCAGCTTTAATCTCCATAATTACCACCTGATAAAATATATCGCTTTCCCTAAAAATGGCTGTTTTGTCCCATTAATAATGCAAAAGGTTGGTGGGTTATTTTTCCCCCCAAACAATGAAATCGGTCCCAGCGTTCCAGATCTTATTAAACTGATCAAAAGTCTCGAGTTTCTTTAGAATATTTGCTGATTGTTCACCTCCCTAATTAACATGGAATTAACGCTCGTTCCTGTTTCCTGATTTGCAACGAAGAATGCCTGATCCCTGCAAATGTTGTATTATTATTTTTTCTTCTCTCTCTCTCTCTTTCTCTCTCCAGCTTGGTTAATTGCTCCCCAGACTAAAGGGAGGGGGAGAGAATTCATTCCCTTTAAGTTATCTCATTCTTTGCAGTGTCTCATCTTAGAGCCCAAAGCAGTGTTTGTTCAATAAGGCCTCTACTATAATATTTCAAAAGTGAGAAGAGAGGTGTGGGTTGCTTCTACCTATGTCTGCTGAAGATGCACTTAGCCTGAATTTTAATCAAAACGATGTCTGCTTTTCTCTCTCTCTCTCTCTCTCTCTCTCTCTCTCTCTCTCTCTCTGGGGGCTTTAGCAATAGGAGCCTGGTTGCAGAATCAAAGCAATTAAAACATTTGCCATCCTGACCTGGTTCAGGTCTCTCTCTCTCTCTTTTTCTCTCTCTCACCTGTACAAGTGGAACTTGAATATTTTCAAGCCCTTTGTCTTTGCATTGTGAGGAGGCTGCTTTAATTCCCCCCACCCAGGATAAGCGAAGTGGCTGCTTCCAACCTCAGAGAGCTTAGATTCAGCCAAGGAAATGTTTAAGGAAAATGTGTCAAGTTGATGCCGCTAGAAGAGAACCAAATAGAGAACCAAACTACAGGAGTGAAACAAAACCATCATTGTAGGTTGCTTCTCTCCTGTTTCCTTTTTAAAAATATTTATTTTATTTTTATAACAGCAACAACAACAACAAATAAAACCTTTCTGTTCATCAGTGTGTCAGTCATCTTTTGCAACCTTCTGATGAGCCAAGTCAAGGGGTAATCCAGATTCACTCAACAACTGGTTTACTAGTTGTTAGTAACTTCAGTGATTCCCTTGTGCCAAAAAAGGTCTTAAAATGGGGCAAATTTCACTTAGCAACTCTCTTCTTCAGCAACAGAAATGTTGGGCTCAACTGTGGTCATAAATCAAGGATTGCCAGTATAATAGCAATAGCACTTAGGCTTAAATACCCCTTCATAGTGCTTTACAGCCCACTCTAAGTGGTTTACAGAGTCAGCCTCTTGCCCCCAATAATTTGGGTCCTCGTTTTACCAACCTTGGAAGGACGGAAGGCTGAGTCAACCTTGAGCATGGTGAGAATCGAACTCCTGACAGTGGGCAGAATTAGTCTGTAGCACTACATTCTAATCACTAGGTACCGTGGATGGATGGATGGATGGATGGATGGATGGAAGGAAGGAAGGAAGGAAGGAAGGAAGGAAGGAAGGAAGGAAGGAAGGAAGGACAGCAATAGCTTCACAGTGCTTTCCAGCCTTCTTTGTGTGGTTTAGAGTCAGCCTCTATTGCCCCCAACAATCTGGGTCCTCATTTTACCCACCTCAGAAGGATGCCAGGCTGAGTCAACCTTGAGCCGGGTGGGATTTGAACTGCCAAATTGTAGGCAGCTGGCTACAGCAGAAGTAGCTTGTAGTACTGCGCTCTAACCAATGCACCACAGAGGCTCCTGATGTGATAATGCCAATGACAAGGCAAGTTCTGAAAACCAGTGAAGGTCACATCTATGCGAAAAGACTCTACTTACTTGTACAATTCAATGGTTATTTTTTCCCCCCCTTCTTGATGCAGGTTAACCTTGTTTTGGATGAAGGACGATCTCTGGGCCTCATGATTCGAGGCGGGTCTGAATACGCCCTCGGGATTTACATCACGGGGGTGGACAAGGGTTCGGAAGCAGAAAACACTGGCTTGAAAGTAAGTTCAGATGAGACTCTGGCGTGAGTCCGGGAGGGGCCCCGTTTTGTAGAAATGACAATGCGTAGATATAATTTCTGAGATTTATCAGGTAACGTTTCCATCACGTTGAACTCTTTTTAAAAAAAATAATAATAATTTTATTGGGATTATAATTGGAAATGTGAAAACGAATACAAGTCCAAAAAACTAGAAAGTGCAGGAAAAAAAAGGAAAAAAGTAGAAAAGAAAGAACAAAGAAGTACAATTTTAGTAAGTTATCCCTAAGAAACAACAAATGGACGTTTCCCCATAACTCATCTCTTAATTATTAACAAAATCTTAAAGCTTTATTGTTTATTCCTTATCAGCAGAAGTCCGTTAAGAGCTACCAGAAATAACTATGTAATTATTTTAAGCTTGATCAAATGAACCAACTTTATATTCCTTCCCTACACTTTTAACAATCTTAGGTTTTAATCCCATGAAATAATGTCCTGGAACTTGACTTCTTTTCGCCTTTTCTTCATCTTATCTCAGTAAATCCTTCAAAAACCTTAACAGATCTCTCTGTAAATCCAGTAAAAAAAATAATGTCCAAATCTCTCTTCTGATTTAATACTTGTATGTAGAACTTGACCAAAAGTAGAAGCAACTTTTCTCAACTCCACGTCTTATAGAAAAGTAAACACAACAAAAACATCTGAATATTCAAAAGAAATGCTCAGACGCTTTATGAATAAGGTAGAATATCAAAAGTTCTTTTTTTTTCCATGGAAAAAAAGAAACTTCTAAAACAATTCAGGACAGTCCTAATTGGAAATCTTGGTTCATCTGCAAGATCCTCACCCAGAGTAGCAGTGATGGGGCCTCTGGTTGAAACTATCACAAAGAAGATACCATCTCTGTCACTTTCACTTTAGTCTGAGCTAATGCCTGTCTTCATTAAATGAGGACAGAGGTCTCACTCATCCTATTTTTTTCCTTTCCCTCTATTTCAAGGACACTTCCTTCGATTCAGAAGTATTCACAACCAATCTTCATATTTTGTCACTCTAAATGACTCAGAAGGGGACCAAATGCAGAGATGGCAATTCTCCATTTCCCCCAATAGCGATTTTCTGTTCATTTGCTCATTAGTCTCCCACTGACACCTACCCCACCCCCACCTCCCCTCGTCAGCTGCCCAAAAGGACATTTCTCCTTTCTGTCCTGCATCACAAAATTGCTTGTTTTTGTAAAATGCCAAATGGTTTCAAGCAGGCGACAGAACATTAGGCTCAGGAAAGAGATGTGAAACGATAACTCTGGGTATATAATAAAGAACATTATTTCCTACAAATAAATGGCTTCAGGTCTTCAGCGGATGGTTATCATTCCATCTGTTCCCCTTACAAGTAGAAGTTAATAATCCTCCAAGAGTAATGCCTAGTTTTCGGTGCCCTTCTTCTACCTGCAACCTGTCAGGCACGAATAACAAGACCTGCATGCCTGGAGTTCAAACTAGCTACTTTATTATTCTCCACCTATAATACAGGAATCATCCCAGACTTAGCAGATTTGCTGGAAAGACTAGAGAAGGCTCAGTGGCATTCAAGGAGAATGTCAGGGTTCCAGTGAGGGAGGAAGGTCCTGGAGGACAAGGCGTATGTGATCATCCATGGTCTCAGTGTTGATGAGAATGTCAACCAAGTAGACAAGGACCCCCTCATAGAGATGCTCGTGTTTCTACCCTTCCCTTGTTTAATGGCGACTCGAAGACAGGCACAGGAATGTTTTATGAGTTGACAGAAAGGGTCAGACTTTGTCCTGGAATACTGCATCCAGATTTGGTCACCACAATATGAAAAAGATGTTGAGACTCTGAAAAGAGCGCAGAGAAGAGCAACAAAGATGATTAGTCGTCTGAAGCTGAAACATATGAAGAACGCTTGCAGGAATTGGGCTCATCTAGTTTAATGAAAAGAAGGAGAGGGGCTGCCACAAAGAAGAGGGGGTCAACTTATATTTCAAAGCAGAAGAAGAATCAATGGATGGAAATTAAACAAGGAGACAAGCAACCTGGAATTAAGGAGACATTTCCTAAACAGTGAGGACAATTAACCAACGGAACTGCTTGCCTCCAGAAGTTGTGGTGCTCCATCGCTGGAGGTTTTTAAGAAGAGACTGGACAATCATTTGTCTGAAATGGTATAGGGTCTCTTGCTTGAGTAGGGGGCTGGACTAGAAGACCTGCAAGGTCCCTTCCACCTCTGTTATTCTATGTTGAACGGTCTTGTGTTTACATAATGAGTCCATGCGAATTCCCTCACATTTCTCGAGCACATTTCTCGTGCTCCTCCGAGCTACATTCTCTCCTGATTAACAAAACTGGTTTGGGGATACAGAATACATCTTCTCTACTTCATTCGCGGTTCTTGTTATTCCCCCCCCCTTCCCCCCCCCCGGAATGTCCTAGGCTGCTTGAATGTAGAGAAGATCCGGGAATAAGGCTAGAGAAAAACACGGTGGTGAGTTTTAGGGGACACTCCTCCGTCTTGGGAGCTCCCAGTTTTGATAGAAAACACTGGGAACTCGAGATTCCAATTTTGGAGATCATTCGAAACACCGCATCTCCTAGTTTGCTGAGAATCGAGTGGCCACCGGATTGCACATTGGCCACTTGCCTTGACTTTGCAAGCTGCCGTGGTAGGAGCAGAAAGGAGCGTTGCAAAATTCCACAAATTTTCCCAGCCGAGATTTGATTGATTGCTTGTCACCCGATCACCGGGAGAATACGCTAGGGCTGGTGGCAAAAGGTTTCTCTTTCTCTGGATGGAAGTAAATATCATCCCCCATCATAGGGCAGGAACATATATCTTGCAGCAGGATTGGCCATGAATAATTCATCGTGACCTAGCTTTTAATGTGCTGGCTGTCACACTGGAGGCGAGCACCGCACTCTTGTGTCGGTTTCAACCATCGTCTCCAAAGCCCTTCCCACAGCTCCTTGTTCCTCCTCTTTCCTGTCTCCGCGGTGGATAACCATTTCAATCACAATAGAGCTGGAAGGGACCTTGGAGGTCTTCTAGTCCAGCCCCTTGCTCGAGCAGAAGAACTTATATACCATTTCAGGCAAGTGACTGTCCAGTCTCTTCTTAAAAACCTCCAGTGATGGAGTGTCCATGATTTCTGGAGGCCAGCTATTCCCGCTTGTTAATCATCCTCACTGCTAGGAAGTTTCTCCTCAATTCCAGGTTGTTTCCTCCCTTGATTAATTTCCATCCTGTCTGACCCAGGTTTCGTGAAACGTAATTAAACACAAATTTGTTTTAAAAGCAAAACCTATTTTAATGCAGCGCTGGGAATTACTTTCATCCACAGCCAGAACTAAACTTAAACAGTTCCCCAAGATAAGCACACGCCTGTCAGTCCTGTGGAATGCTGCCGAAAACAGAAGTATCCAAATTAATTCTAACAGAAACTAACCGAAGTACCTGAAAAAAACCAACCGGAATACACAGACCTTCAAAGAGGACTCGGAATCGATTGAGCTGCTTTGCTTCCTGCAAAGCTTTTGTCATTGAGGTCTGACTTTTATCCCTTGTGGGAGGGGCAATCACCTCCCAGCCTTACTCCCAAGTCACCCCTTCTGGTTCAGCTGCTCTCGCCTTCTAGCAGCTCTGTGCATGCACGCACTGGGAACAGGCTCCCCTGGGTCCTCTGCCTCGCTGCTGCCAGGCTCCAAAGGCTCCAAAGGCAGTACCTCACTCCCAGATGGTCCTGGCACCATCCCTGCATCAGATGCAGGATCCTCATCCAAGTCCTCTCCAGGTTCCCTGATCGGTTCCATTTCTTCCTCACTGTCCGATACCGCTGCCGGTTGCACCAGCTGCCGGCGAACCACAACACATCCATTGTTCTTTGTCCTGCCTTCTGGTGCTTTGGAAAATAAGTTGACCCGCTCCTCTTTGTGGCAGCTCCTCAAATACTGGAAGACTGCCATCATGTCACCCCTCATCTTTTTCTTTTATCCATACCCAAACCAGGGAGAACAGTGCAGAAATTATGAAAGGGCGAATTAAGACCACGTCCGTTCCATTTCAGGTTGTCTCCCTTACACCCTTAGAAGTCACCTGTGCATGAAAATACAATGCTCCGTAGAGGGTAAGAGAGTCACAACGGCAATAACATTCTTTAATGGGATTCTCTTCCCCCTGGCTCTTTTCTTGCCAAGTTCGCCTTGTTTTAGAGATGGCGGGCAGTTCTGGAAAAAAAAAAATTGCCAGTTGATGAGAAGAAGAAGAAGAAGCCCTGAAGGCTTTTTCCAACCACCGGCCTCGTCAATGGTGACCAGGACTTGATTTCAGCAAAGAGAAAGAAAAGAGATTAGGGTCTGAATTGATCAATGTTCTCCATTGCTGTTAATTATCTGGCCCCGCAGCTATTAGACAAGAGAGAAAATTACTTTTTAACCAGGTCAATTTACAAACCCAAGAACCGGGCCTCAACCAAAAGTCAAGCTCATTATATTTTTTTAAAAATGTGTGTGGTTTAGGGTGTTGTGTGAATTGAGAGCATTTTGTCAGTGTGCAATTAGAGGGGGAGGGCGGGTTAAATCAGTCATTGTCCCCCAAAAAAGGAGAATATTTGTAGCTCGGGTTGAAAGGAGAGGTCCTTGATGCTGTCTGAGCTTGCTTATTTTCTTGCAGACGTTTCATGACCCAACTAAGTAACATCATCAGTGTTAGAAGGAAGGGGTTTGAAGGAAGAGGAGGAGGACCAAAAGAAGGATGACTGTGGGATCCTTGGTGCTCTCTGAACTTGGTGGTTTTCTTGCAGACGTTTCATGACCCAGCCAAGTAACATCATCAGTGCTAAAAGGGAGTGAGGTTTGCTGTTATTCCTCTTATTCACTCCCTTCTAGCGCTGATGATGTTACTTGGCTGGGTCATGAAACGTCTACAAGAAAACAAGCAAGCTTGGAGAGCCCTAAAGAACCCATCAGTCATGGTGTCTGCTTAAAGATAACTCCTAACCATGGATCATGGTCAATATGACAGTTGATGGCCAATGTCGCTAGAAGGGGCAAAGAGCTACTGTTGATGTTACCGTCTTGAGGAATCAATGAAAATAATTTTGGTGGGTTCATTTTCCAAAGTTTCCACCTTCCCATGGGAGAAGATCTATCGAATTCCTCAATCAATCCAGGTCATGGTTGTCCCAAAGCTGCTTTTCAAAAGGCAACTGGACTTCCTTGGTTTGTTTTCCCCCGTTGAAAACGCTTCTCATCCAAGAATTCAACATTTTGAAACGCAACATTTTGGGGACTTCCAATGGGAACTTCTATCCCCCTTTCCCTGCAGGTTGGAGACCAGATTCTGGAGGTCAACGGGCGAAGCTTCCTCAGCATTTCCCACGACGAGGCCGTCAACCTCCTCAAGTCCTCCCGCCATCTCATCATGACCGTCAAAGACGTGGGAAGGCTACCTCATGCCCGGGCCACAGTGGATGAGACCAAGTGGATCACCAGCTCCCAGATGGGAGAAACGATGATCAATTCTGCAGGGTTGGTATATATCCCCAGAACAAGAGTTCCTTTGCAAGAGGGGCTTATTATATAAGCACAGTCGGTTGGACTGAGCACCGTGGGCTCTTTCCTAAGAATGCTGAGCTCTGTAATGGAGTAGACCAGGGTTTCTCAATCTTGGGAACTTGAAGATGTGTGGAGTTCAATGCCTGGAATCCCCCAGCCAGTATGGCTGACTGGGGAATTCTGGGAATTGAAGTCCACACATCTTTAAGTTCCCAAAGTTGAGAAACACTGGAGTAGACAACTTCCTGATAACTAAGGAAGGCCAATCTTTGGCCAAAGGATTAAGGATTCCAAATTGTCTGCCTGTCTGTCTGTCTACCCATCCTCTTATCTACCTCTATCTATCATATATCTATCTACCTACCTACCTATCTCTCTACCTATCTAGTTGTATGTCTACCTATCTAGTTGTCTGTCTAGCTGTCTAGGTAGACAGACAGACATGTAATAAAATTTATTGGCCATCTTACCACAAGATAACCCCGGGTGGCTGTTGTAAATTAGATGGTATGGCTGGTCCAGGGAAAGAAATTAGTCTTTTTTGTTCTGTATGAGATCCCATGAATATTTCAGAACTCACACTAACACTTCCACGGATTTCCTGCTTCAAATTCAATATTGTCAATATTCAAGCACAAAGGAGCTACATGACCAGTTTTTAAAGCATTGCTTGGATTTCTACAGCGTGCTAAGACAAGCCAGTTCAGGTTCACCATAATGGTGCAGATTGGAAATAATAATAATAATAATAATAATAATAATAATAATAATAATAATAACAACAACAACAACATTCTTACCTTCTGTGATATCCGATGGCTGAGATTTCTGGATGTGAGAAAGAGAACATAAAAGTTGGAAAAACAGGAAAGCAAATAAAATAATCATAGTACCAGGTCTCCTTAAACCATAAGTATGGGAGATGCCTATGATGTATTTTCACTCTTCTTATGAATAGAAATTGATGAGTTCAAATCAGGAGGGACCAGGGCATGATAACGATGATATACTGGTGCACGGTTGATATTACCTGGTTAAAGAAACATCTGCAATAAAACCACCAAGCTCAGAGAGCACCAATTATAATCTCCATAAACCCAACACTAAAATATTAGCCCAATGTTTGAATCCTCCAGAAGGACAGTAATTTCCCCTTATATAAGGAATAATCTTACATAAATATATAGTGGGTTTACATTTGGGGTAATGGATACATCTGCAAAAGGGACAAACCAACTAGATAAGATTGCTCCATCCAGCCCGTATGTACGAAGTTCTTAAATATATATTTAAGACCACACCTTAAATATATGTAAGACCACACTGCATCCAGTTTTGGTCACCACACTATAAAAATGACTCTAGAAAAAGTGCAGAGAAGAGCAACCAGGATGATTAGGGGACCGGAGGCTAAAACATACAATGAACAGTTGCAGGAACTGGGAATGTCTAGTCTAGGGAAGAGAAGGACCAAGGGAAACAGGATAGCAGTCTTCCAATATTTGAGGGGCTGCCCCAGAGAGGAGGAAGGGGTCAAGCTATTTTGCATGGTACCTGAAATCCAGACAAGGAATAATGGATGGAAACTGATCAAGGAGTGATTCAACCTGGAAATAAGGAGAAATTTTCTGACAGTGAGAACAGTCAACCGATGGAATAGAAATTGCCTTCAGAAGTTGTGGGAGCTTCATCCCTGGAGGCTTTCAAGGGGAAACTGGACTGCCACCTGTCAGAAATGGGGTAGGGTCTCCTGCTTGGGTGGGGGGGCTGGATTAGATGACCTACAAGGTCGCTTCCAACTCTTGTTAATCTGTAATATCTGTTGGACCACTCTGAGATACAGAAGGCCAAAACTTGACATGACCCCGATCTTCTGATAGTCCTGATGCACATCTGACCTTCCACGTTGGTCAACCTTCAGCCTTCAGCCATTTGTCTGTAATGGTATCAGGGTCTCCTTGAGCAGGGGGGTTGGACTAGAAGACCTCCAAGGACCTTTCCGTTATTCTGTAACATCACCCAATGGCTAAGATCTCCGTCTATCTTCCTTCCCAACCTTCTTTTTGGTGATAACAGCTGTCTTTCATTGCAGGGCCTCTGACGATCCCATAGGGGAGATGACAACAAAGGTAAGGTGGAGATTTTGAAGTGAGTGTCCTATTCCGTCCAAATTATCTAGAAAGGCCGTATTACCATCATTATTCTCATCCTCTCTATTGAGAATAACACTTCTGTAGTGTTGTGGAAATCCGTTGTTTAGCAGAGCGGTGGCGCAGGGGGTGGGTGGAAAAACTGTCCTTGCGTCTAGTTGTTCTGACATGCACTGCCCTATGGCGTCGTTTTGAGGGGAGCAGTTGAAATAAGATATGTCCAAGATGAGAGGGGGGGTCTGTAGAAATTTTCACAGCCCTATTTCTGGCTCGGTGCTTTGGCCCGCCAGCTGGCAACAAAGCTGGCAACAAAACCGGACAGTGAGGAGGTTGGGGAGGAACGTGGGCCAGTCCTGGAGTCTGGGGAAGGCTCTAACGGGGACTCTGCATCAGAGATGGGGCCAGGGCCGTCCGACAGTTATCAGCTGCCTTCAGAGCCGGAGATCACTGGGGCAGAAGAACAGCTGGAGCCTGTTCCCGATGTGCGCATGCACAGAGCTGCCGGGAGAAGGGAACAGCTTAAGGAACAAGGGTCAACTCAGGAGTAAAGCCACAGGTGGACGGTGAATGTCCCCTCCTGTAGGGAATAAAAGAGGAGCGAAGGGGGAGTGGTGTTTGCAGGAGACAATTAGTTCAACTCATTAGGGTGAAGAGCTGTTCCTGACTTCTTGCCCAAGTAATTGCTGCTACAGCGTGGCGTTTGGAAGCTATCAGCCTGGCAACTCCCCAAGCCTGATAAAGGTCTGTAGTTGTGAGCTCTCTTGAAAGGCTGTTTGCTGGGACTTTGCTGGAGAGGAATTCCCTTTAACCCTCGTCTTATCAGGACGAGGAATCGGCTTCAAGATTTTGGGAAGCCTGCCTACTGTAGGTCAGAACACTCGTGCAGTAAGACAGATCTTCCATGGAAACTGTTGTTATTCACGGTGAATTCTCCAAATAAAAAATGGGAACGGAGAAAACTGTTTTCCGTTGAGTCGTGTCTTTCGTTCCACTAAGCCTTCGCAAGGTCTCATTTGGTTGGCATGGCAGCATCTTTATTTATTGGCAAGGTCTTTTTTTTTTTAACCCTCCCTCCCTGGTCCTACCTGACAATGAAATATTTTGAGCCTCAGATCTCCTGGAGAAGAGCAGGCAGGATTCATCACCTCTGAGCCATGGCCCTTCGGGTCTGCCAATCAGAAAGACGTTTCTTAATTGCCTTTGTTGTTGTTGTGTTGTGGTTTCTTATTCTTCATGCCTCAACTAGACTCGGGCTGCTGTTTTATCCCAGAGCCCATCCCTTCTCCAAGATTAGCTTAAAGGGAAACAATTGGAGAAGGGCTCTGTTGCTTTCCTTGCATGCGTATTGTATAACAATTATGATCCCTAAAAGCTAAGGAGACTCAGTGGATCTCTTACTCCTTTAGGCAGGATAGTAAGCTAAGTTGATTTGTGTTTCTACTTCTTTCCCTCTTGGATTGCTAGTGATGGATAGAACTTTGTCAAGACTGAGTGTTTTTTTCCGGTGGAAACCAGTGTAAATGTCATGCCTCCGTGGAGTCTGACTCCAAGGAGGAAGAGACGAACAGCTGACAGGGAGCGGGAGAGTGGCTCCATTGGCTATGGACGAAACCGGGGAAGGGTAAAGTGCTGCTGGGCAGAGCAGGGAAGAGGTAGAACAAGGGAGAGGGAGTTCAGAGGAAGACCCAGGCCTACCCCTTCTTCATCCTAGGGCTCGCAGGGAGGAATGGAGAAGGGAGCAACGTGGGTTACGTGGCTTATGAGGGAGGAGAGGGCCCTGATTCCCTTTACAAGGCACACTTGGGGAGGGAGTTTAAAGGAGAGGCAGTTGCAAGCTGCGTTTGCTGGGAACAAATGTTGAGTTTATCTAAATGTTGGCTGCTGTTGCTTGCATTCCTGTAATCCTCCCAACTGGTTTGATTTACTGCCAAGTTGCTTCACTTCTGGAACTGTTTCTTATGCCCTGCCAGATTTATTGTTTTATCTTGCTTTGTTGGATTTATAGTTTAAAGTTTTCTGTTTACAAAGTTTTGGACTACAATATCTGCAGCCAAAGGCTGTTGCAGGTTCCTGGGAGAGTTTTTCTCCAAACCGGAATGTAACAGGAACATTGGGGGCAAAGTTGGAGCTAATAAAGGAACCCCTACTTATTTTCTGGCTGGGTTGTCTTTGTGCCACGCCCTGGATCGTCACACATACCCTTTCTGGGATTCGAACTTTTTGAAAATGGACACCTGCTGAAGTTGCAGCGATGGCTTCTGTAGATGCAAAGATTTACGAGAGTCTTTCCGTGGTGCTCCCTTGGAGCTGGTTAGCCTTCATTTCCTGCAGAGCAAAAAGTTGCACGATAAGCAGTTTGAATTTTTGGGAAGGCAAAGGGGAAGTAATAAAACACGATAACCGCTCTGGAAATGATAGAAGAGAATATTTGTAGCTCGGGGTTGAATGGTGACGTCCCCTCCCTTCCAGCACTGAGGGTGTTACTTAGTTTGGTAATGAGTCATCTACAAGAAGCTCAGAGAGTATCAAAGACAGGTATCCCTCGGCTTACGACCACAATCAAGCCCAAAATTTATGTTTCTAAGCAAGACATTTGCCCCATTTTACAACATTTCTTGCTCCGGTTGTTAAGTGAAATCACTGCAGTTGCTAAATTAGTGACCTGGTTATTAAGGGAATCAGAAAGTCACAAAAGGGGAACCCCATGGGATACTGCAACTGTCATAAATATGAGCCAGTGGCCAAGCATCTGAATTTTGATTCAGGGGGATGCTGCAATGGTTGTAACTGTGAAAAATGAGCATAAGTCACTTTTTCCAGTGTCATTGTAACTTTGAATGGTCATTAAAGGAACTGTCATGCCCCTGTTGGAGACTAACTCTGAGGGAGAGATGGAACAGCTGACAGGGGGTGGGAGTGGGGCTCCGGAGGTTGTGGAGGAAACTGGGGAAGGGCACAGGCCCGATGGCCACTCAGAGGAAGACCCAGGCCCACCCACTCTTCACCTTAGGGCACGCAGGAAGCACGCGGACAAGAATCTAGTCAAAGAAAGGCCAGCACTAAATTGGTGCTAGATAAGAGTTAAAGGGATTTAGGACCCACTTGTGGGAATGCAAGGATTCCAGGCTGATTCCTCTCTTGACTCTTTCCCCCAGGCTATGCTGCTTCTCCTACAACAGCATCACAGATGTATCTTGTTTAGAGGCACAAACAGATTAGTTGCAATTACAGCGTTATCAACTATCCCCATTCTGACTCCAGAAAGCCAATTATTATTCAGTACTCAAGGAGATGCCAGGTTGAGGTTTCTTCCCTTAAGGGTCCTTCAGGATTTTGAGAACTCTCCAAACTAGGGATAAGAGAGCAAAAATTTCAGGAATAAGCCCTAAAGAGGCGAACAGCAGAAATTCAGGTCCAAATTCAGAACCAATTTAGGACAGTTGATTCCCAAATACGAATCTGCTCTCGACACTAGGTGACGCATTGGGAGCTGCAGTGCGTAGGAAAGTGGCGCCCAGAGGAGAAGAACTAAACTATACAACTCAGCAGGGTCACGACTGGGAAGAAGAAAAGTTGGTTTCCTGGGAGTATGAAATGGCTTTTTTTATTGTGGTTCCAACGGAGCAGCATTTTACGGCTTGCTTGCTTCCCACAAAATTTCAAAGGACCCTGGAAGATTCCCCCGATATCTTCATCCCTTTTGATTGCCGGTTGCAGAAGGAGAGAGGAGAACGGAGGGAGGAGGAGGAAGAGGAGAAGAATGAAAGAATAGAGGAGGAAGAAGGGGGAGAATAGAAGAATAATAGTGGCAGAGGGGGAGGAAAATGAAGAATAGAGGAAACGGAGAAGGAAGCGGAGGAGGAGAGTGGAGGAAGAAGAGAATAATGGAGGAAGAATAGAGGAGGAGAAGGGGGAGAATAGAAGAATAATAGAGGCGGGGGAAATGAAGAATAGAGGAAAAGGAGGAGGAAGAGGAGGAGAATGGAGGAAGGAGAAGGAGGAAGAGGAGAAGAAGAAGGAAGGAAGAATAGAGGAGGAGGAAGGGGGGGAATAGAATAATAGAGGCCGAGGGGGAGGAAAAGGAGGAGGAAGAGAATGGAGGAAGAAGAGAAGAAAAGGAGGTAGAGAATGGAGGAAGGAGAAGGAGGAAGAGGAGAAAAAGAATGGAGGAAGAATAGAGGAGGAAGGGGGAAAATAGAAGAATAATAGAGGCAGAGTGGGAGGAAAATGAAGAATAGAGGAAAAGGAAAAGGACGAGGAGGTGGAGAATGGAGGAAGAAGAGGAGGAAGAGGAGAAAAATGAACAATAGAGGAGGAGGAGAAGAACAAAGAATAGAGGAGGAGGGGAAGCTCTCTAACTTCTATTTACAAGCACCCCGTGGCATTCACTCGGTCCCTTTGAATGCTGGGTGAAGGTAACCACAGACAGACCCAGCAAGTCCTTCTTAATGGTCTCATGGCCAATCCTGATTATCCCGCAGGCTGAGAAGCTGCAGGCGGGCAGGAGCTTCACCCTCCACCGAGCAATCAGCCGGATTTTGAAATAAGGGCTACTTTCCAATCAAGGCTTCCAACGTAGCGGGCTTCTTCTCAGCAGGCTCCCCTGCGGTTCAGGGCCATCCAACTCCCACCGCCTGGTCCTTTTTCAAATCCAGGTTTCTTTTGTGCTGGAGAAATTACTGCAAAGGAAGAACGCCAAGGTGTCAAGGTTAAAGCTGAAGGTGTGCCCATCAGCATTCATGAGCCTTAGCAGGTAACGAGACAGCCGAGCGTTTGCAACACAGCTGAAATGCAAGGAAAGGAAAACAATAACCTGGTGCTACCTTGAATACATATTCAGCCTCCAGATGTTTCTTCAGCTCCATTCCCCATAGCCCCAGATAGCTTGGCCTGGGAGGAGAGGCCTTGCCCATTCAGCAGCATCTGGAAAACTGCTGCATTTCTGCTCTCTCTTTCCATTGGCTGAAGGCCGATTGGGAATTTCGACTGAATCTTACATTCTGATTTCTAGAGGCATAACTTTGGGCCGACAATGCCTGGAATTCTTCTATTTGCTAGCCTTCTCGGTTTTCTGTAGACGGTCGCCCTATGTGGGCGACCTTGTGAGATGGAAAGTTGTGTTTGGGCATGCGTGGACACACACACACACACACACACACACACACCTTAAAGTACAATCGTCACTGCTAGAAACTTGGTTTTTGTAACGCAGTGTCAGGCGCGAAGAATCAGGACCGTTTGTAAGGTTGCAGCACAGATTTATTCAAGCTATACCCAGGATTCTGGTCGACTACAGTTCGACACTAAATTGGTGCCAGATAAGGATCAGCGGAATTCAAGGAAGGGTTGGACATGCTTGTGGGAATGCAAGGATTCTAAACTGATGACGTGCTTAACTCCGCCTCCCTTAATTGCCTTCTTTTCTCCTACACACAGAATACTAAACCTCTTAATTAGAAGAACCCAAGGCACTTAGGTATTTTGCCTACAGCAGACTTCAAGTGGAATCCATAATGTCTCTAATTAGAAGGCAACAATTATCAAGAGATCTACGTAAAACAAAAACAAAAAAAACATTTCTAGCTAAATGGACAAGGACGTGTGTGTGGCCCAAGCAGTGTTTAAGAAAACCACTCACATTCATGTGCCGTAAAACAAGAAGCCGATATTTTAGTCTAAAGGAAGCTTTTCTGCTTAATGCCTGCAATAATGTTATTCTTCAAATATATTGCTTTGGTGAATGTCATTCTGAAAATACGAGCACTTATAAATCCCTTAAATTTATCATATTCCTCTTGTTATAATTGTGTGCTTCATCATCTATTAGCCAGCCTCCTTTCTCTTGTCAGTATGTATTATGAGGACTGCTTGCAAAGAATGTTCATTAATTAATAGGCTACGGTTTGGGTAATCCTAATTAATTCTCCAAAGCTGCTCTGTTGCTTTCTTCCTAGCCATCCTTCTATAAAGGTCTTACAGGATCTCAAGTAACGTTGAGTAGCTTGGTGAACCAAAGCCGAGTGATGCTGGAGGAACACGCACGCCACCTCCTGAATGAACCCGAGAGGACCACCATGGCTTACTACCTGGATGAATATAAGGAGAAGAACATCTCGATTGATTCCCTCATCATGGCTCTCTTTGAACTGCTCAACACCCATGCCAAGGTTAGTGTGGTGGAACGGAGTCTGGATTCCCCAGGAGAGAAAGGAGGGGCTGCTTCCCAGAGGGCAAAGAGGCAGAGGAGACTGGAATGTCTGGTAGGCAGGAAAAGGGTTATGTGGGTCCCTCCTCCCTAGCAGTTCACAGAGTGGACTATAGTTTATGCAGGTAGCTACTTTAGTCTGGCAAGATTCTGTCTGTAGGTGAACTGCAATAAAGAAACCGCTAAGAAGCATCTTCCTGTGTCGCTCTTGGTTCTTAGTCTGGCAAGATTCTGTCTGTAGGTGAACGGCAATAAAGAAACTGTCAGCTCTCTTTGAACTGCTCAACACCCATGCCAAGGTTAGTGTGGTGGAAAGTAATCTGGAGTCCCAGGAGGGAGGGAGGGGCTGCTTCCCAGAGGGCAAAAGAGGCAGCACCACACTAATTTCAGATATGGAATCAGAGATCAGATGCTCTCTGAGTTTGGTGGTTTTCTTGCAGACATTTCATTACCCAACTAGGTAACCTCATCCGTGCTAGAAGAGAGTCAGGTTTGCTCTTATTTTTCTTATTACCACAACTCCCTTCTAGCCCGGATGAGGTTACCTAGTGTGGGTAATGAAACGTCCTCAAGGAAACCACCAAACTCAGAGAGCACCAAGGACCCCTCACAGCCGTGATTATAGATATATGATAGAGTTGGAAGGTCAACCTAGTCCAAACCCCGCCTCCCACTGCTGCCCTAAAAGGAGACCCTACCCCATTTCTGACAGATGGAAGTCCAATTTCTTTTGGAAAGATTCCAGGGATGAAGCTCCCACAACTTCCAAAGGCAACTTCAGTTCCATCGGTTGATTGTCCTCACTGTCAGAAAATACCTCCTTATTTCTAGGCTGAATCAATGTAGATAGACGTACGCAATGTGTGCATGGCGTCCTTCCATCCGGTACGGTTTCAAACCACCTCCACCCCTCCCATTTCCCTGTCTTGTCTCTGCAGTTCTCCCTCCTGTCGGAGGTCAGAGGGGTGATAGCTCCACAAGACCTGGACCATTTTGACAACTTGGTTCTTAAGAGGGAAATAGAATTTATGAAGGCCCGGCAGCCTTCCGGGACAGGAACCGACTGTTACTCTACTACAACCTCTTACAGCGATTCTGCCTCGTGTACCGAAAGCCATTTTACATCCACCACGGCTAGTTCAGCTCGGGTAGGTATGGTTGTCTCAGGCTCGGCTCTCCAATTTTGGCCCACTGTGTCCCTGTTCCCCTTACACCGCTAGTCCTCGACTACAGAGGTGGTCTTCAGCAGGTTCTGACCAGTTCTGGAGAACTGGTAGCGGAAATTTTGAATAGTTTGGAGAACTAGCCAATACCACCTCTGACTGGCCCCGCCAACCCCATCTCTTCTCAGCCTCCCATTGAGTCCCCGTTGATTGGCTGGGTCTCCTTTGGTTGCCCTGCAGAGGAGAACGGAGCTGGAAAGCAGGCTAGTGGGGTGAGGAGGGAAGGGGGATTTTGCAATATCCTTCCCCTGCCACGCCCACCAAACCATACCCACCAAGCCTCACCCACAGAACTGGTAGTAAAAAAATTTGAATCCCACCACTGCTCGACTTCCAATGGTTCGTTTAGTGACCAGTCCAAGTTACAACGGCACTGGGGGAAAAAAGTTTAACATTTTTTTCTGAAGAAAGAATTTTTAGAGAGCAGAAGCCACATAGAAAAAAGATATAGTTTATCTTCCCCTGGCCAGCCACTTCTTTCCCACATTCCAAGGTTTTTCTTCCAATTACAGAAAGAAAGAAAGAAAAAAAACCCCACATTTGAGAACAGCCTAGGGTAAAAGCCCCCGGGAGAAGGAATTATAAAAGGGGGAAATCGATTCTTTCCAGGAAATCAAGAAGACACCTGGATCTTCTGCCAGCAGAGTCTTGTCTTCCCTCCCATCCAAAGGAAGTTAGCATAATCGCCTTTTTTTAAATGTGCTGCAGCCCTGAGGGCCATGAAATCAATTTGCTGGTAATAAAAACACCTTTCATCAAAGCCTCATTAGCAGGCTCCGGGAGAGAGAGGCTGTTTGACAGAGCAGGTTGCGGAATGCCTGAACTCCTGAAAGCCACAGCAAAGAGGTTGAGTATTCGAGGCAGCCGTGAAGGGAGTCCTTTTAATAGCAATGCCCACGTTTCCTTGAAAATAAGACCCTGTCTTATATTTTTCCCCACCAAAAAAAAAAGGCACCAGGTCTTATTCTGGGGGGATGTCATCTACTGACTAACCTCACTTGGTTGTGTCACCCCTGGCCTCCTTTATGGTGTGAGAGGCCTTCAGGAACATATTCTTCTGCAGCCGGCAAGGTTTTCCTGAAGACCTCTGCAGCCGATAAGAGAACTCTGGATCGATCCAGAGCTTTAGTATCAGCTCCAGAGGCCTTCAGGAAAGCCTTGCCAGCTGCAGAAGAAATGGGCCGGCAAGGCAGGTGTCGGGGTGTGCGAGGCCTGGCTACAACAGTCCAAAGGTAAGTAGTAGGGCAGTTCCACCACCCCCATCCCCATCTCCACCCCAGCTTAATTTTTACCTGTCCACTCTGGAGTGGGCAAGATCATAATTAGGGCTTATTTTGGGGGTAGGGCTTATATTGGGCACACATGTAAAAATCAAGCTAGGGCTTGCTTTCAGGGTAGGTCGTATTTTGGGGGGAAACAGGGTAGTTTTCTCTGCAGAGGCATCCTTGATACGTTTCTCCATCCTGTCTTTCCGCCAAGCAGTTTCTCTCTTGCAAAACAAGCAAGAGCCCGATCGATCGGCTAAAACAAACTGAAATACAATCACTCTCTTTCTTGTTGACAGCTGACCCAGCCGTGTAAAACCAACTCGAACAGTTTGAAAACCTGTGGCTGTTTAAGTCAAAGGTGGTTAGTGACAGGGGGAGGGCAATAGAGGAGAGGAGAGAAAGGGACAGGAGAGGAAGGGAAGGAGGGAGGGAGGGAGGGAGGGAGGGAGGGAGGGAGGGAGGAAGGAAGGGAGGGAGGGAGGGAGGGAGGAGGAGGAAAGGAGAAATGAGAGAGGAAGGAAGGGCAGAGGAGAGGAGAAGGAAGGAAGGAAGAAGGAAAGGCAGAGGAGAGGGGAGGAAAGGGGAAGGAAGGAAGGGATTCTCATAGTGAATGAGAGAGGAGGGAGGGAGGAAAGAAGGAAGGAGGACATGAGGTGAGTTGAGAGTAGAGGAGGAAAGAGAGGAGAGGAGAGAAGAGTTTTATTTGGCCAAGTCTGATTATACACACAAGGGATTTGTCTCCGGTCCAGAAGCACTCGTGTACATACAAAAAACAACAACATCACCACCACCACCATCATAACAACAACAACAACAATAATACCAATAAAAGGGGGGAGTAAAGAAGATGATAAGAAGGATAACAACAATACTACAGCCACATAACATGGATAAATAGACATAAAACACTACTGTGAAGATTAGCTGTTCAGCAGAGCAATGGTGGAAAACTGCTTCCGTGTCTGGTTGTTTTGGCGTGTAATTACGGCACTGTCCCAAGGGGAGGAGTTGAAACAGTTTATGTCCAGGGTGTGAGGGGCCTGTAGATATTTTTTCAGCCCACCTTCTGACCTGTGCAATATATGGGGTTTTCACTGGAAGGAAAGGCTTTCTCCAGAGAAAGCTCGGCCAATTTCCAATCCAATAAATACAGACCTGTCACATTTCAGCGTTCAACTTCTCCCTCCGGAACCCATTTTGAAAGTCAATCTACTTTCATCAGAGGGTGATGAGGGGAGGAAAAGGACATTGCTCTGCCTGGGTTTTGCTTAGATTGCATTTTCACTTTTTTAAGCTTCTAACCTATTTCTTCCTCTCCACCTATTGCACGCTGTGTCCACGTCAATTCAACCCACGTGGTCAGGAGAGACTCTTGTGGCTGATTGATTTGATGGAGGTAAGCAATTCTGGAGGGGATTTTTTTTTCTGTGTAGAGTGTGTGTGTGTGTTGTCAGACAGGAAATGGAAAAATTGAGTTGGGAAATCGAGAAAGAGGACTTGGGAGCCATCGTGGTCCTAGTTGAAATTGGGATTGACTAAAGGACAGGAACACAGAACAAGAAGCAATGGACGGAAACCAATCAAGAAGAAATCCAACCTAGAACTAAGGAGAAATTAGACAGTGAAAGCAATTAACCAGTGAAACGACTTTGCCTCCAGAAGCTGTGTGCGCTCCATCACTGGAGGTTTTCAAGAAAAGGTTGGACATGCATTTCTCCAGGATGGTGTAAGGTCTCCTGCCTTGGGCAAGGGGTTGGATTAGAAGGCCTCCAAGGTGCCTTCAAACTCTGTTAAAGGCTTCTTGAGAACTCTACCATTTGGATGGATCTTTGGAGAAGACTCTGATGTTAGGTGGAAAGAGAAGAAGAGAATGACCACCAGCAAGATGGGGTGGACTTAAGGGTGAGAAATTGTGGAAGGGTCCAATGGAAGACTTGAAAGACCAAACTGGAGACAGATCCTGCTGGAGAAAAATCTATCCTTGTGGCTGCTAAGGGTCAACACTGACTTAGTAGCATATAATCAATGCATCAGATCAATCCATCCATCAGTGCAAAGATCAGCTCCTTTGAGAAGTCCAGAGGTGGAAGGAAGGAGAAGAAGATGACAATAAGCAGGGAGGTAGATGGCCAGGCAGTGATGGTGAAATGGTCATTAGAAGATCAGAAGGACCTGGCTGGGAATGGATCTCCCTGAAGAAGATCGGTGTGGCTATTAAGAATGGACTTTGTGACGCATAATCTATCGATCCATAACAAATGGAAGAAGTTGGTAAATTGGGACTTTGACTTCTGGATGATGACAAGCAGAGGTCTCCAACCTTGGCCACTTTAAGACTTGTGGATTTTGGGATCTGGCTGAGGAACTCTGGGAGTTGAAGTCCACAAGTCTTAAAGTGGCCAAGGCTGGAGACCCCTGATGACAACCACGGTTTAAAACAGGGAAGCTGTGCCTAAATTATGAACGTGACTGAATTTCCTCTCTCCCTAAAATGCACTTAAAGCATTTAAGCATTGTTTAATTTTTAATTTTGTTTCATTATGCCGCGGAATTTCATTAAGGAGAAATGCGCCATTGGATGCATTCATCTATCTGGAACTTCAAAATTGATTGATTTTTAAAAAAAAAAAAAAAAACAGGAGAGATAGAAAAAAACGGAAGAGATTCCTGCAGATGGCTTCCAATTTTGAGGGCCAATATTTTCCTACTATGTTTTGTTTTTCCTAGGTTCTCCTTGAGCGAACGGTACTGTTTTACCAAATTTCATTCAAGCTCACTGTTTTTGCTACTGATGGTTGATCCTTGCCTGGTGGGAAAAAAAAAAATCTTTCCGTTTCGCTTCTTGCTCTCCAAGTCTTGTCAAACAGGAACTGTTAGGCCAACCTTGTTCCTTTCACCTTCCTCTTAAGGATTTCTCCAATCGCTGTCATGTTTTATTAGCAGGGGGTTAATTGTGCTTTGTACTAATTGAAAACGGCTCGGAAGCATTGCTTCCCAAATTGGCCTTAAAACAGAGCCAGCCACAACGGGAGGAGGGGAAGTGGGAGGGTGGTTTCTTGGATTTGGGGGAAACCTGTGATCGACTGCCCCCTTGCGCATCGAGTAGAGGTTGGTGGCGACTTAGGCGAAGCCAGGCGAGGAGATTTGAGTTAGAAGAAAGGACTTTGAAAGGAGAAGACAAGATGTGTGAGGAGGAGGGATGTGACAGTTGCCTTCATTATGAAACGGCCAGAGTGATAAGAGAAACGAGAGAGAAAGAGAAGGAACTGATTGAGAGGGTTAGTAAGAGATGGATCAATGGAAGGATGAAGATATAGAGGTATAATAGAAGAATAGATGATTAGACAGGAATGGAGCATAGGTAGATGATAAATAATAAATGATAAATAGATGGATAGATAGATCAATGGATGGATGGATGGATGGATAGATAGATAGATAGATAGATAGATA